TGAACCATATGTGTGTGTATTTGATCACATTCACAGTAATGTGAGGCCTTCTCTGACTATTTGCTTTCAAAACTGCGGCGCACCATCTATTCCCATTGGTGAGGACTTGCCTGTCGATTATGATAATTGACACCCAAAACAAGACCCCAAGAGTCGCATCAGGGCTGGAATTCTCCTCCATCCAATGTCATTTCCTTGCCTTTATGGCATAGGTGACCTGAGCACCCAATCCTTCAAATTTCTTGATTGGCTTCATGAAGTCGGCTGCTCTCTTTGGCAGGTAATTTTATTTCCTTTCCTTTTTTTCATCTATTTTTCATTTTTGGGTTAGGAATTAGATTTTTTTTAGGTTGCTCAAAGAAGAGTAATTTTTTTAGCTGATTTGACGTAATTCTGACGGGGAAAATATAGCTGACTCAAAATTTTCACGCATTTTGCCTAATCTTCTTTCTATGTTAAAGCTGTTTGATTGGTTATAAATTTAAGCGGGCCACTGATGTATATGTTGGAATTTTGTATCGAAAATTGGTTGTGACCAATTTTACATAATTATTTAAGTGGAATTTTTAATTTGGCGAATGAGAAATGAAGCAAAATGTAAGCTGTTTAATATTTGAAATTGTATAGAATATTGTGGAATATTTTAGAAATATATGAATGTGTCTTTTCATATGAAGGATCAGGACTTTTCAAATGTCTTTTTTAAGAAATTGCTTTTGAATATACTTAGATGATTTTCTAGGAATGATTTGATTAATTAGAAGAATTTTGAAGGAATTTGATCTAAGATAGCTTTCTTGAAAAGTAGAAGCAGCAGAAGCTATAACATTCAAGTTTATATATGAAAATTTAATGTATTATGTTATTGAGGAAAAATAATGTCAGACATAAACAAGAAAAATGTAAAAAATATAATTATTAATAAATGAAGTACTGTTATAAAACTAAATGGAAGAGAAAAAATAAGAGAAGAAATAAGGAGTTAAAACTCAATTTTGTATTATTATGAACCAATGTCCTATATTTATAGGGTTCAAAATAAGAGTTACAATTGGAATAAAATAGATCTTCTAAACTAGATTAGACTTATTCATGTATCATGATAATACTAAATAATCATCAATAATTATCTCATTATGATTATTTGTACAGTAACTGTCTCGTTAAAATCTTGTTTGATAAAAATCCAATAGGAAAAAAATCAAATAAAAGAAAAAGAATACAGTTATTTTGGAATACTAAAAATAAATGTTATTTCATTAAAATCTTGCTAGGAAAACTCAGTGAGACAAAACCTAAGCGAATGAAAAAAAGTACAGTTACTCCTCCTGATATTGATCACTGAAAATCTTTAAGTCGACGCATTCTAATTTTTTGAACTAATTTCTTGAATGTAGATGTTGGCAGTGCTTCTGTGAATACATTGGCCACATTGTCACTTGAACGAATTTGTTGGATATCGATATCGTCATTCTTTTGAAACTCATGTGTATGGAAATTTTTTGGAGAAATATGCTTCGTTCTGTCACCTTTGATATAGCATCCTTTGAGCTGTCTAATACAAGCCGTATTATCTTCATATAAAATTGTTGGACTATCCTTTGTTGAAATTAATCCGCATGATGCTTGGATATGATGAGTCATTTTTCTCAACCACACACATTCTCGGCCTATTTCATAGATTGGAATAATTTCAGAATGATTTGAGGATGTAGCTGTCAATGATTGCTTCACAGATCTCCATGATATAGCTGTTCCTCCACATGTAAATACATAACTTATTTGTGATTTAGCTTTATGTGGGTCAGAAAGATAACCTGCATCTGCATATCCCACTAAAGTAGATCCCGACTTTTGAGAATAAAATAATCACAAATCAATGGTACCATTTAAGTAACGAAAAATATGTTTAACACCATTTCAATAACTTTGAGTTGGTGTAAAGCTATATCTTGTAAAGAGATTTACAGAAAAAGCTATGTAGGGTTAAGTGCAATTTACAAGATAAGTTAATATTCCAATTGCACTAATAATGGTATTTCAGGATCAAGAATTTTTTCTCCATCTTTAAGTGAACGAAATGGATCGTTTTTCATATCGAGTGATTGAACAACCATAGGTGATGCCCATGGATGTGCATTATCTATGTAAAAACGTTTTAAAACTTTTTTTGTATACGTAGATTGGTGAACAGATAATCCATCTGCGAGATGTTCAATCTGCAATCCAAAACAAAATTTGGTTTTTCCCAAATCCTTCATCTCAAATTCTTTTTTCGAATAATCACCAGTTTTGTTGAACTCTTCAGGAGTTCCAATTAAATTTAAATCATCAACATAAACTATCACAGTTGCAAATCCACTATTTATTCTCTTTATGAAAATAAATGGGTAGATATCGTCATTTTTATAACCCTCATCCAACAAATATTCGCTAAGGTGATTATACCACATGCGTCCGGATGGTTTTAATCCATATAATAATCTTTGCAATTTAATTGAGAACATGATTTTCGACCATGTATCGTTTGTTACTAGCACCTTACGCCCTTCAGGGACTTTCATATATGTCACATCAAGTGAACCATACAAATATGCAGTTTCTTCATCCATAAGGCGCATATCAAGTTTTTGTAACACAGTCAAACTAATTAAAAATCTCAAAGTGATGGTGTCCATTACGGGAGAATCTGTTTCTTCATAATCAATTTCTGGTCTTTGTAAGAAATCTTGAGCTATTAATCAGGCTTTGTACCTTATAATTTTATTATTTTCATTCTTCTTTTGTACAGAAACCCATTTGTATCCAATAGGGATTATATTTTCAGGTATTCGAACTACAGGTCCAAACACTTTTCGTTTCTCCAAAGAATTCAATTCTGCCTTTATGGCTTCTTTTCATTTTGGCCAGTAATTTCTATTTTGATAGCCTTTAACCGACCATGGTTCAGGATCCTCATTTTGCATAATATCAAGAGCCATATTAAAGACGAAAATATTGTCTATAACAACATTATTTCGTTCTCATAATTTATAAGATAACATATAATTTATTGAAATCTCATTATTTTCGGACACTTGTGGTTCTTCAGGAATCGTATTTTCAATATCTGATTGATCAATCTTTTCTAATGTGATTTCTTCCGAAGGTT